TGTTCTGTTGATTTTTTGAAATCTCTTGAGCTGTCATTTTTTGCACTTTATCTATCATTGTTGAATGCAGTACGTTTCACTATATGAGAGTTTTATGGGAACAACAATTGAAGCAATACTTGAAGAGAAACATCAACAAATAGAACAATCTCTTACTTCTCAAGTGCTCCAACTTTTTTTAAAAATTTTTGGTCAGCGGTGAACTATGAGAGCTTTTCCAATTTTGGCATAAGAACAATCCTCGGTCGGTGTAGTGTGGATTAAAGCTTCCCATTTGCCTCTTCACTAAATGCCTGAGTGTCAATTTCAAAACAGCTGTTCCTGCTTTTATTGTATTTCTTACACTAGCCACTCTTTTTGATTTTCCAATGATGTTGCCCATTTGTGCACGAATTACTGGCAGATTTGTGAATTGGATTCATGACTAATGGAAATTAGATTTTAGTCCACTTTTACTTGGTTATCAAAATTAAAAGACCTTTCCTCACATCATTTGTCTCTGTTCGAACCGAAACAAAACATTTAGTGCAATTCTAAATCTTCCTGTTACATTCCTAAAACGTAGACCTTAAATTTTTGCTTTACCCAAAAGTTTGCAGTGCAACTTTTCCACTGTATTAATAGGTATTCAATCAGCCAAAATGAATGTACATTCTCAACAAATGAGGAGGTTCCTCTAAGGTTTTGGAGTAGATTTGTAGCTCGGGTTGTGGGTTTTGAGGTTGGTTGGCTCGCCGAGCTGGTTTCTTGTTTTGCAGATGTTCCTCCCTTGGCTCAGTATTCCCCTCCCAGACAAATAAGAGGGAGTACTGCAAGAATGAGCAGAGCAATTCCAAGAAACTGATGAGCAAAAACAAGGAGCATCAGTGGAACATAATAGAACATTTACAGAACAACTTAAGAAAACCAGATTAAGACAGCCCTTTTGCTTTCAATTTACAATCTGCCTCTTGCATATTGCAATTATATTTAAATATTGTCTCCTCACTGCTCACTTTGTGTTTCCTTCTAATTTTCAGGTATATATTTAATTGGTCTTTTAAGCTATTTTACATCTGCTTTATGGCCCCTTGGCTTCTGCTGACTTTTTTTTTTCTCAAGTTATATCTCTTACTTAATCCTTCCCAGATGCTGGAATTTGATTTTAAATATTTCTTTAATTTCAGCGCAACATTAAGAAGAGAAAACTGGAAGATGGCGAAAGTAATTGTCCAGGTAAAGGATGCTTGCATGGAGCTGGGCATTTGGGTTAATAGTTTGTCATCATGACCCTTTTCTGAAACCAAAGGCTGAATTTTCCTGGGACTGGGGGAATAGTTAGGAAGTGGCTCAGGCCACCTTTTGAATTAGCGTGGGAAGCAGAGGAGGGCAGCTGATTTACAAAGCCCCGGTTAGGAGAGATTTTTGGGTTGGACACTCCATGTCCAGGCATGTGCAACAGACACCACATCTTTGACAGCAGCCTCCCTGTTGCAGGCCATGGCAACCATCAGAATTTAAGTCTCCAATCCCCAAAGATGGGGTCTCTGGCAGCAAATGCTGTCTTCTTGGCACCAACACTTTCACTAATGTAGTTTCCCTTCCAGTCCAAGGATCCTACTGGTTTGGCCCCTCTGAAATAGTCCTTTAACTTTACAACTCCAAGATCACCTTATTGTCTGAGACTCTAGCTTGCTAGTTTGGAAACTCATAGGTGACCAGTTAGAAGGCTGTCAACGGGAATGTTGCTTCAGTAGTTGTTTCCAGCGAGCGAGAGTTCTTATTTAGTCTCAATGATACTGAAGCTAACAAAAAAATCCTCCCCACGATTCCTATTTTAACACTTGGCTGAGAAAATAACCTGTCTGTTATAACCATGTAACTTCCTGTTGCACAATTATTCTCTATATTGTTTATGTAACTTAAAAGCCTGTTTAAAATTGCATATTTCTGACTCCAGTTTGTTTGTGTAACTGTTTTTTAATGAAGTTGGCCTGAGGGGCAGTATTTATTGTTGGCAGCGTTCTGGTCCAGATAATCTTTTTGTTTGTAATTATAACTATTTGTTTAAATGCTTATGGCCTTACACCGCAGTCTCAGAATAGTCTCTAGCTGATGGAATTTTGTTCTCCTTTTCTTGACTGTTACTTGCACAAGAGTTGGACATGTGACAGCAAACCTCCAATAACTCACCATTCTCTGCATGTGAGCGTGTGCAGAGGTTGATGGCAAGCTAGACTGTGGGTTGGTACTGTAAGTTTAGTTTTCAAACAATGCCCAGACAGCCAAGTTTCATATATTGAAACAATCAATAACAGTTAGGAATTGAAAAGAAGAATTACAGAAAATTAATAGAATCCCTACAGTTGTAGAAGCAGGTCATTTGGCCCACTGAGTCCACACTGACCCTCCGCAGACAATCCCAAACACTGTCACCCACCCTCACCCTATTCCTGTAACCCTGCATTTCCCATAATCCTTCTAGCCTGCACACTAGGGCAGTTTGGCATGACCTGCACATCTTTGGACTGTGGTCCAAAGAAACCAATGCACCCGGAGGAAACCCACGCAGACATGGAGAATGTGCAGACTCCACACAGTCGCCTGAGGCTGGAATCAAACCCCAGATCCCTGGCGCTGTGAGACAGCAGTGCTAACCATAGAGCCACTGTGCCAAATTATATTATCCAACAGTTTTCAAAAGAAAATCCTGATTGCCAATAACACAGGGTGGCACAGTGGCTCAGTGGTTAGCACTGCTGCCTCACGGCACCAAGGGCCCGGGTTCAATTCCACCCTCAGGTGACTGCCTGTGTGGAGTTTGCACATTCTCCTCATGCCTGAATGGGTTTCCTCCGGGTGCTCCGGTTTCCTCCCACAGTCCAAAGATGTGCATGTTAGCTATATTTGCAATGCTAAATTGCCAGCAATGTCTAGGGATGTGTAGATTAGCTAAGTTACATGCAGATGGGTGGGATGCTCAGAGGATCAGTGTGGACTTGTTGAGCCAAAGGATCTGTTTCCCCGCTGTAGGTATTTTATGACGATTATCAGTAATAAATCAGTAGGCCATTAAGTGCACACCAACAATGTTTCAAAAAATGGTATTATTTCCAAGAATAGCAATAGACAGATGTTTTAACCCTTTAAATGTTTGATCTTTTTGCTCATCCAAAATTATCTTTGGCATAAGGGCAGGAGTGTTGTAGGTTTTAATGTTAGGTACTTAATTCAGACTTCTAAATTTAATCTTCTTTGGGCAGATATCTTGTCATGTTTATACAATTGTGTGTTGATTGCTTTTTATAAAGAAAACTTGCTTTTTAAATTTGCCTTTTTAAGCCTGAGCAAAGCTTTTTGTATTATGGAGCTCTGAGCTGCAGAAGTTTGTTGTCTGAAGTTGTATAATTTGCTTACACAGTTATTTTAGCACAAAAACATTATGCTGTCTCCATTAACCCTTTTGTATAACTTGTCTGGTTTAGTTACTTTGCATTTGTGTAATGCTGACATTTCTGTTGGAAGAGAGGAAGAGATGCTGAACAGACTGAGTGGGGAGGATGTTTCGACTCAAATAGGGCTATAAAATTAAAGAATTACTTTTGGAAAAATAGTTGTCAGTTTAAAAGTTACATTGAGCAATTGTGATGATAAAATGAGGCATTGTTATTGTAAATTTGCCATATCATTATCTTCCATATATAAATCAAAATTGTATATTGTGGGAACTGCATTGACTCACTTGAAGTGATATTTGGCTTTGAATCCGTGATAAGGCAGTTTGCTAATTAAGGACTGTGTGAATAATGTCGGCCAGACACACACTAGTGATTAGATGTTCCATGTAACCAAAAAATAGTAATTCACCCTTGATTAGAAAACTGTAAGCGTTAGACTGGGTTGGATTAAGCAAAGACAATAGTGTTAAGTGAGCAAAATGCACCTGTTGTGCTTCAGGGATATGCAGAGCAGTCAGGGCAATATTTGAAATCAAGACTGGAAAGGTTAGAGGATGGCGGTGAAGTGGCTACAGTTACATACTATCATGTTCAACTTCAGATAGTGACCAAAGAGAGAATGATTGAATTATGTCAAAGCTGCGAACAGATTTAAAAAGTTGCGGAGGAATTGTCCCCATTGACAAAGGAACATAATTACAGATTCAGTAGCCCAAATCTGGGATATCCAAAAAACAGAATATTATTTTACTCTTAGTCCACAGAGCACAGTGAATTGGTGGAAAGTAATGAATAATTGCAAACTCTTTGAAATATAATGTATGGTTAAATGGGCGTTTATATTAAATACACCCTTGAAATCATTGTGCCCACTGAAAGGTATTTTTAATCCCTCACTCTGAAGACAGGATATTAAGTATGGGGATTAAATACCAGGCATTTGTCTTGCTGAGAATATCTCGTGGGTTAATGCAGGTGTCTAAGAAGGATTGCTGAGTTCAACCACAAAAGATGGAACAACCTCAGGCCAGTTTAGAAACTTGGAAGTAAAATGCTTATCTTTGTCACCTGTCACTGTCTATTGATCTGGTGGATAATCAAAAATCTGGGCAAATCCTGGACGGCATATAGACAGGTTAAGAAGGTGTTTAGCATGCTTGCCTTCATTCCCCGGACCTTTGAGTTGGAATTTTATGTTGAGGTTGTACAGGACGTTGGTGGAGCTCTTCTCTTCTGCTCTTTATCAGAGTACTGTGTGCAGTTCTGGTCGTCTTGTATAAGAAGGATATTATTAAGCTGGAGAGGGTTCAGAGAGTTTTATCAGGATGTTGCCTGGAATGGAAGGTTTGAATTATAAGCAGAAGCTGGGACTTCTTTCACTGGAGGTAGGAGGTGAGGAGTGACCTTAAAAAGGTTTATAAAATCATGAGGGCTATCAATAAGGTGAATAGCAGTTGTCATTTCCCTAGGGTGGAGGTTTTCAAATCTAGGGGGGCATATTTTTAAGATGAGAGGAGAAAGATTTTAAAAAGACATGAGGGGCATTTTTTTTTTTTACAGAGTGGCTTGTGTTTAGGATGAACTTCCAGAAGAAGTCATGGATGTAGTTTATAGTTACAACGTTTAAAAGACATTTTAGATAAGTATATGAATAAAAAAGGTTTGGAGGGATATGGGCCAAGTGCTAGTTTAGTTTGGGATTATGGTCGGCATGGACTGGTTGGACCGAAGGTTCTGTTTCAATGCAGCCTGACTCTATGGCAGCTGCAGAAACCTAATGGGAAGGTTTCAAAGACAAAGTTATGGGTTTAGAGAGCAACAACATGGATGTAAAAAGAGTGGGCCATGTTTGATGTTTGATCAACTTAATCGGATGTCGATTGAAGGAGCAAAGAGCAGATTAGGGTAATGCATCAGCTTAAATATATTTTGGATCTTTAAAATGATTGTACATGTGGCCAATGCCACCACTAGATGGAGTACTGTGTCCACATGCATAAGATAGGAATGCAGCTTTTAAACTCATATGCATTATAACTTAATTGTAAATAAGGCCCCAAGAAATGAAAGCGCATTTATGCAGAGCCATTGAGAGTAGCCTTCAAAGCGTTGACTGTGTTTATGTTTTTATGTAGAGCTTTCTTTCCGATGTTTTAAAAGACCCTTTGTATTCTGTTGTCATTTTCCCATCTGTGATCTCCCTTAAGGGGCATGTAACTAATCTCGGCACTTTCCTCTTTAATTTCCTGGCTGACGGCAATTCAGCTATTCAGGGGTAATGGCCTCAAGAAACAGCAAAGACATCTTGTGGTTTGCAATTGTTTGACAGGGCACTGAGAGCTATGCAGACGTTGTATTACAGGCTGCATTTCATTTATGGTGTGTACGCACAGATGCATCACAGCAGCCTTTTATCAATTCTCCTTCATGGAAAATGGAAACTGTTTCAAAACATCTTCAACAATAAGTTGCTGCGTATTAGACTCATGACTGAGGTCAGAACAAGTAGTAGAATGGATTCAAGCTTAACAGAAAACATAACTTACTCGCTGCAAGGATTTGGGAGCAAAGGTGCTGAATGATTTCAAAATAAAATTGGGTAGGCACTTGAGGGAAATAGCTTGAAAAACTTTTGTGATAGAGTGATGATATGGATCTGATTGGATCGCTTTGCAGTCAACATAGAACCAGTGGGTTTACTGGTGGCCTCCTGGACCTTTATATCACTATAAATGCAAAACGAATCAGGTAATATTCATGAATAGAGAAACAGCATTAACTTTTCAGGTTTAATGACATTTCATTATCCATTAATTAGGAGGAGTGACTAAAACCTTGTGTCGAAGACATTGGGCCTTGGGTCGAACAGGTTGGGTTTTATGGGTCAATCGCCTGGGAGGTTATTCGTGACTGTTTGTTTTTTTTTGTTAGTGCTCTTGCGTTAGGAGTAGGAAATGTAGTAGAGCAATTTAATCAGTTGTGTAAATGGGACATTTTTTCTTGTGTGTAACCAATCCTGAATGAAAACCACTTGCCTCCAGTTCCCAGTGAGTGCCAGCATTCGTCATTTACTACAGTTTCATGATCTCCTTCACGGCAAACACGAGAGAAATGAGGCAGAAGATTCTCTGATATTGTAGATAGTATACCCGTTAACAGACATTTGGACAGATTCGAGGAAGTCTTACTTTGGTGTTTAATGTTTGGTGTTGCACACGAGTATTTTCTGCTGAAAAACAGGAAAATATTAAGTTTACCATCAGTTAAAAGAACTGTAAACAATGAAAAAAACTTTTAAAAATAGCTAATGAACATGAGACTAGTGGGAAAATCATTGGGGAGGAACTGAGAAATGTCTTTGGATATCTGGAATGTTTCACTTTAAGTTCATGTACTTTATATTTCTTATCAGTACAATTTCACTGCTTTTATAACTTTGTAATTTACCAAGAAAACACACCCACTCCTCCAGCAGTCAGCTCATTGTAAAAGCTGATAAACCAGTGTGGTTGAGTTTCTCGATAAATCTCAGGCCTCCGCACTGCTGTCCTGGGTCCCCAGAAGCTTCTGGGGTCTTATCTCTGTTGAGGCCTACACGTCAGTGGTGGAGTGGGGTGAGGAATAAGTATATCCAGTGGAAAGATGGTAAGTACTTTTTTATACTCTTGTGCTGAGGAGGATGACTGTCAGGGAGGGGAAGGTTGGAGACAAGGACAGGGCTTCTGACTTTGAGGCCAAACCTTTTACCTTCCATCTGTTCTTCCACCCCTACATTGGAACAAATGGAGGACCCCCCCCTCCCCAAAAAAAACCTAGCAGCAGGTCACCATGGAACCAATAACACCAGGTGGCAAGTTGAGGGCTTTGCGTGGCTATTCAGTGACCAGTTAAGGACTTTAATTGGTGGCAAGTCGTGAAGTTCACCCATGAACCTTGTCACCCCGACCTTAAATAGTAAGCTGGTGAGAAGGTGGTCACCTTCTCGCCATGGCAAACTCTCCACATTATTTCCCCTTCTTTCCACCTCCAGGGAGGGGAGCATGCCATGCCTTTTCAATGTGCAGTCTTGATTAAGTCCCTGGCAGTAAACCGTAGCGGTAAGTTCAACAGAGATTGTTCACAGCTGGCATTCAGTCATTCAGACTTTGCGATTCAGAATTGCTGCAAGAGTTAAAAGTGCAAATTGCAGGAAGTGTTCAGAAAATCTGCCAGCTTTTAAGCGCTTAATATTTTTGGCATTAGGACATCTGGTAATGGTCCAATGCCCAAAGTTAACATCTTAATCTGACAGACGTGCTGTGTGTTTTCAGCCTCTGTTTTTATTGTTGGGGAATAGCAATTTTGATCCCAAAGTTTTTATTTTAAATATGGCAACGTTGTACTGAACAAAATATTTTTAAAGTTTGCATTGCTTGATTTGTGGTCTTTGTTACACTTTTCAATTATAGGAACAAAGGTGTTTGTAATTCCAAATGGAATGCTGAAGAGTAACCAGCAGCTGGTTGAGATGATTGAGAAAATTAAACCAGAAATCAGGACACTCATGGAGAAGTGCAACACAGTAAGTGACATATTTTGCAACTTGTCATTCTGGTGTGCCTTCGGCTTTGTGCAGTTAGCAAAATTTGATTGTGACTTCAGGGAACAATTCTGCATTTAGGTGCAGATGAGTGTAAGCATGGCCCCACGAGGACTAACTTTTCAATGATGTTGAGAAATTCCATCCATCAGACATATCCTCCGCTGTAGGAAAAAACCATGTTAGAAATCCCGAGCGGAAAGGACATCCCTACCATTTCTTTAGTGGCACTTTTAAGAACCGTTGTGGAACTGAAAAAACATAGTTGCAGCTTGGATGAAGTATGCTTCACCTAATTTTCCATATTTTTTGTTTAATGTCTTGTACCTTCAGGCCTGTTCTTTACAAATGAGGCTGTAACATGGAAGAAACTTTCATTCTGGCTGCTGTTCCCAGCGTGAATCTGGAACCTTGCCTCCAATACTAACGCAAAGCAGATACAGACTCAGTTGTATACAATAATAGGGTAAAATTCCTGGTACTGCCCCATGAATTGGAAATGAACATTTGGAACTCTTTCGCCAATTGCTCTTCTTGTTGTCTGTTATTTTTAATCTTCATATGGAATATCTTGACTTTATTCAGCCATGTACATCTCCTAAAATATTGTTAATTTCGACAAGATGCATACGGGGTGATTGGCGCCAAGGAGTCAACATTCTGGTGGCAAAGAGGTGAAAAGTAGAAATGAGAAACCAGTAAATAGGCCCCAAGGTAAACAAAAATATTGAAAACGTCCTCTCAGATCTATAGGACTGTAAAGATACAGGTGAAAAAATATGGGATCTAAACGGAAAGCAAGGAGGAGAGGTCAACTCTATTTGGATTGAAATTGAGCAGTCTAAGGTTAAAATGGGTAGGGAATGTCAATGCACTCCCTCCAGCCCCATTCTGCCTCAGGACATTGCGATGTTTTACAGGATATGATGCAAATATACCATAAAAACAGGGATAGACCAGACTGTCAAGCCTGCTTCACCATTCAGTCAGATCATAGATAATTGTGTGCCTCAGTGCCACTTGCTCACACTACCTCCATGTCTATTAATGTCATAGTCTCAAGATATCGATCAATTTCTGAATAGATTGATTTCAATGACAGAGCTTTCGCACCTCTCTGTGGTAGAGAATTATGTTCACCATGATCTGAGTGATGAAATTGACTGTATAACCATTGACTATGTAACAATGTTCAGGGGCAATTTTTGACTTGAGAAGAATGTGCATCTTGAGATCCATGCTACTAAGGGGTACAGCCATGTATAGAGTTCCATGGTTTTATTAACTACCCGAAGAGTTAGAACCATAATACTGTTTCCATGTCAAGTCTAGTCATACATGTTTGAACAAAAGTTGAGTTTCATTTACAAAAAACGATTGGTTTTTAACTATCTGACTCGTTTGGTAAAGAATCTTAATTCATATGTCTGACCTTATTCTATGTAAATTAACACTAAATACTAAGTTACGTAAATACGAAGCCTGCAGAAGCAAGTTGAATTGTGATTTTAAGTAGCTAAAGGTGTTCTCAATGAAAGCAGCATGCAGAAATTATATTAATCTTTAATAAGCTACAAGGAAACAAACTTCATTAATTTGGCTGCAAGAAAGAACCATGTGCTCCAGTTCTTTCCAAGCTTCAAACGTGTAGAAATCTGCAAACAGATTTTGGCAAGGACTCAGTGGTCAAAGCCAAGAGAACATTTTATTCTTTTTCTCTCTCCCATATGGAATTACTATATATGAGAGAGAATAAAAATAATGACTCCAGATGCAAAAGCTGTATTTGTAGTGTCGTCATTCACGCGGTATCTGAATTTCTCGTACGTGTGGGTTGTACAGCTGTGTCATTCTCAGTTATTTTGAACTGCCCTAGGTTAAAATGTGGGTTCAGCTACTGATACCAAGGATAGAAGATGGCAACAATTTTGGCGTTTCTATTCAGGTACAATCATTGCATGCGCTTTTTTTAACAATTTCCTCACATTTATTTCCTACACCCTCGATTTGCTATTTATTTTGCATTTAGGGATCTTGTTCCTCACCCTGTTGATCAAGCTGGGAGTTGTTAGCTGGAATTGGAGGGCCTTGCTTCTTTATCTGCATATCAGCATCATGCACTGTCAAATCATGCAGTGCGACCAGCTGTATGGTAAACGTCACTGTATTCTGCATAATTGCAACTATGTAAGAGTGCAATCTCCTGTACTCTGATTACTGTTCTGATTGTTGAACTGTGGGTAGCTTTGTTCTGTGGAAATGCATCTTCATAAAAGCATCTCCTCCGAGCATCCAGGCTTGTTTCTCACGAAGAATTTGCTGCTCGTTAGGATGTGGCTGCCTTCACCTCAGCCTGGGCTGCTTTTAAACCCAAGTGCCAAATATGCCTAGATTCAAGTCCCACCTTACCCATTCATATGACAAAATCAACCTATTCAGAGTGATATTAACACATCTATAATGAACTTTGATCAAATGTCTGTGTCACTAGGCCCAGTTCAGTGTTGAGTTCTGAGGAAGGGTCACTGGACCCGAAAGGTTAACTCTTGAATTTTTTCTTCACAGATGCTGCCAGACCTGCTGACCTTTCCAGCAACTTTTGTTTTTGTGCAGTTCAGTGTGCACTATCATTTTTTCAGCTTTGCCTGTTACGCTAAGAAAATAAATGAGATAGGGCATCGTATTGCGTAGGCATATTTTGAAACTGATGATTTTATCTACATATGCATTCAGTTAGAATGCATTAGGTAATTAATATGTGCATGTTATATTTTAATGGAACAGTTTCATATCTGTTGTTCATCATTGACAGTGCTTCCTTAGTTTATTATCACTTCATTTATTGCATTAGATTTATTTCTTTAACTGTCAAACATAGTCAAGAATCCAGTATGAAGTGCTCCTGATGGAACACTGGAAAACTAAAACGTAAAGTAAAAAATCTCAGCTGTTCAAACGTGTGAATGAACACAATTCACCAGGTGACATGTTGGGTGATGTATTTGGATCTGTTTCTGTCAGACTGCCGTTTGTTTTTTTGGACCTGCCAACATTTCTTGCTCTTCGATACCAGTCTTGTCACTGAAAGTTAAAGTTAAGTGTAATTATGGCAAAAGCTGAAGTCCTCTGTGGCAAGTCTCACTAAAACTGCTACAAACTTAAAAATGCCACTTGTTTCTTCTGGGCTCTTTTTTTAAGCCTATGTTTTCGGATAAATTTTTTTTTAATTGTAACAAATTTTTCAGCTTGATTAAAGTTCATTATAGATACTTTAATCAACCTATTCAGAGATATTATGTCACATGAATGGGGAAGGTGGGACTTGAACCTAGGTCTTCTGGCTCAGAGGTAGGAACATTACCACTGTGCCATCAACATCCTACTTCAGAAAGGTATTGCTCTAGATTGAAAGAACTTTGGTCTTTCACCAACACCAGTGTTAACCATCACTTGCTTGCCCATATCATTATATTGGAATTTAAGGGAACATCAGACAGAATAAATGACTGAGTCCAGTTGGAAATGGAGATTTTCTAAACCAATTGTGACAAATCTATTAATACAATATTAAATGATTTGTACAGTAATTCAGTATTGGTAAGTCAAGGTAAATGCTTTGCACAAACTTTGCAGCTATATTGCCATAGCACTTGTTCAATCCTTTTGTTTCCCTTCCCACATTCAATTAAAGGAAGAAACTGTTGCAGAACTTCGAACAGTTGAAAGTGAAGCTGCTTCATACTTGGATCAGATCTCCCGGTAAGTGTGGACTTTCATGTATAATTCATTTATCTGGACTTATCCATTAATTTATATTAGAACTTTTTGGAATGCACACTTAAATAAAATATATTCTGTTTAATGTTTCCAACTTTTTTTAGAAACTTCACATTGATAGTTTAGTTTGTTAATTGATGGGGAGTATAACTAGTATCATCTTTGAGTGTTAAAAATATAAATGATGCCCAGCTTTCTGGTTCTACAAGCCAACAAAACCCAAATTTAAACACACTTATGTATTTGTGGTTTTCCAGATACTACATAACAAGAGCAAAATTGGTATCCAAAGTAGCTAAGTATCCCCATGTGGTAAGTGGTAGTACAACTTTGATGTGAAAGTATATTTGCCACTAAAATTAAGTGTTATGTCCAGACTGAAATACATGCATAACCAGTCAATTGGTTCCTTTTGTCAAGTTGTACAAAACTACAAATAGTTAATCACACTATTTTCTATGCTTCTACAAAAATCTTTGATCGCACATTCAAAGTTTGATGAGAGATGTGGGTGCATTTTATCATAACGTTGTGACTGAAATCAATGGCATGCTTTTGTACACTAACCTCACCGAGCTGTACTTCCTCTCCACCTTTCTCCACCCCTCTGTTCCTAAATTGTCGGACTGCTTATCTAACATCCACTACTGGATAAGGGCAAGTTTCCTCTGATTAAATATTGGAAAAACTGAAGCCTTTGGTCCTGTAACAGACTCCACTCCCTCACCACCAATTCTGTTCCTTTCTCTGGTAGCCATCTGAGATTTAACTAAACTTCACAACTTGTGACATAATTGACGCCCAGGTGACCTTATGGTGTCTCTGAAACCATCTATTTCCATGTCAGTAACATTGGCCATCTTCATCCCAAATGTTAATTGGCTGTGCTTTCAGCTGCCTCTGCTCTAACCTTTAGGATTTTTTTTCCTTTCTTGGTTTGTGGGTGTGACTAACAAGACCAACATATGTTGCCCGTCCCTTATTGTCCTTGAATGATAAGACTTGCTTGATCATTTCAGAGGGCAGTTAAAAATATCTACATTGTGTGGGTCTGGAATCACATTGAGACCAGACTGGACAAGGATGGCAGACTTCCCTTTTGTAGAGGACAGTATTGATCCAGTTGGGATTTTACAACAATTGACATGTTTACCATCCGATTAACTTTTTTCAAAAAAATTCAGATTTATTAATTGAATTCCGGCTTCGCCATCTTCTGTGAAGGGATTCAAAGCTGTGTCCCAGATCATTAGCTTAGGTCACTGCACTAGATATTCATGACACAAATACTGCAACCCTGCTGCATCCATAGTCCTCTCTTTGTCTAAGCCATGGTTGTCTGGCTTAATATTGCCTTAAGTGGCTGAATGACACACAGTTTTACGTTTCCTCTGTGACGTACCTTGGGATGTTTGATTATATTAAGACTGATATAAACACAAGTGATTGTTTTTAAAAAAGAATGGAGTGAGGTTTAAGCCTGGAATCTCACGAAATGCCACTTTCTCTGCCACCTGGAAATCCGAGTACACTGTAATGTAGTCAGAGTCTAGGAGTAGGATATATGACCTGAAAAGTAATTTACAAAATAAATTAGATTAAAATTGCAGTGGATCTTTAATTGCTTGTGGACAAATGCAACTGAATTGTAGTTTAAGTAAAAGTAAGTAATTCTGTCAGCCACCTGGTAAATACAGCTGTGCATTGGGAAATGCACAGATGACGGAATTATCTACCACTAATACTCTCTTCATTATAAAATCCCATTTAACTTTTGTTTTTATGCATTTATATATTTGTTTTGAAAACAATTTTTTATCTCCACAGTGAGGGTAAAAATCTAGCTCATGTTAATTGAGAGGGGATATCTATATTTGATGTACAATGAGTTAGGACAATTTCCTCTCTGTTCCTGCTAGATCAGTGTTCAATTCAACCTGAGCTTGGGCAGCCACACTGCTGTTCAGTAGTTGAAATTGAATCATGTTGAAACAGATTAAAATAAAATAAAATACATCAAATCAAATCCATGCAATATTTGACATGAGTGCATGGAGACTGACATTAAGTGCAGAAAGCATTCTTTCAAAAATAAACTCTGCGAGAACTACAAAATTTGGCATAAACATTACCATGGAGTACTTTGTTGTATTTATAGTCATCCCTATCCAGTAAACAGAGTTTGCCTCTGCTTGAACTCTTAATGATCTATGTGTATGATGTGATGTTATTACTTTCCTTGTGTTCAATGCTGGTACTTTTGAATTTCACTTTTGTTTGGTTGAGCAACACACAGACGGGCACAGTAATTTTTCTGTCGTGGAATTTTAGTGACCCATTCAGCCTGTCTTGCAATAAATATTGACTTGTGCTGGCTGTAGCTGTTTTGCCAGACACCTTCCAACACCCTATTCAAATCTGGTCTCCATTCATGAGTGTAAACAGGGAGTGCTTGATGAAGGGGGAAACATGACAGAAGAACAAAACTCTGCGCTTACTTCAAATCCACGACGCGTGCTATAAGCAGGAGATTGTGGTTGCTTTCCCCACTGACCTCTGAATGCCTAGATCACTTGCAGCATCAGTGTTGCCATGCCTGCTGAAATCAGCTAATTTAAGTCATGAAGAATGGTCAGTAGCTTTAGATACAGGGCTGCAGAGACATAATCAGTTGGCAGTTCCTTTTGAAATAGAAATTGGAGCAATAATTTACCTGTTTCGATGTTTAGGAAGATTACCGTCGCACAGTGTCTGAAATTGACGAAAAGGAATACATCAGCCTTCGGTTAATTGTTTCTGAACTGAGAAACCAATATGTAAGTATAAATTCAGCCCGTGTGTATGGTGATCTCATAAAACAAGTCTTAGTTTTCGATGTTGCAAGCAGTGTTTTGAAAACTGCTACAGCTTTATCATGTCAGCAATCTCTTATTTTTCACTTCCATGCCCACTCATTTAAAAAATGTTTCCCTAGCAAGTGTAACGATTGCTCCTCATAACTTTTCCTGAGCTTCCTTTGGGGACATGCCCTGATGTGGGGTTGATGCTCACCTTTCATAATAGTGTGTGAAAATTTTCCTGGTGGATAATTGCAGGTCCAAATTGGTATTCCAATCCTTCAAATGTGCAGTTTGTTGGGAGGTCCTGTAATTTACTGGGCCGTGTGTGCCAATAATCATACCCCACTGTTCCACAAGCCACCACAAAATGTATAAAATCCCAGTGAAACCACTAAAATGACCGATTTGCTTGACTGACTGCTACTGAAGACAAAAACAGGTTCACACTAGGTTTCACCAGTGACAGAAAAGCTAACTTTAACAAGAACAGAAAGGAGATCTCATATACTGCTGTGTAACCTAAAATATACTCCTTCAAAAAACCCGAATTCATATGCACTCAATCTTAATTAAGACAGACAAAGGACAAATGGTTTAACATATATAATGAGTGGGAAAATAATGTATAAAGAGTAAGCAAAAGTCTGAAAATCAACAGCCCAGACCACAAAGTAGAAAGCTATTTTTACTCAGTTCTTTTGAATTTTGCAGTGGCAAAATGCTCCTGTAGGGTAATGGTTGTTCTTCTGTTTGATGGTTTATAAGGTGAACATGAGTCTTGTTTCTTAGTTTTTCTGTCTTTCCCTTCATGGAGAGAGAAAGAGATGGATCTTTTCTGTTTGCAGGCACTGAATGCTGCTCTTCCTCTGTTGCTCTTGGCACTTATAGTTTTCTAACACTCAATCAATCAGAGGGCTGTTGTCAGGCAGAAATTCCTTCACTCAGATTCTTGGTGCTATTCATTCTTGAATTTACACCCGTACTGCTTCAAAAGCAGCATGGTATTGAACGGCTCAATAATACAGAACACTTGGTTTCCAGTTGTAAAACTCTGCTGAGTTACAGTCGGCCAATTTCCATTTCAGTTTATAGTTTCAAAACAAAACTGATCTCTTAAAAGTATGTTGCCTTTGATCATAACATTAGGTAAGGAACACTGCCTTTGTTAGGAATCTGACTCTATGGACATTTCAAATACATTATTAATACTATTATTCTTCCTCTCATTCAGGTTATAAAATTATATAGATATCAATGGTGCAATGCTGTTTTTATTTTTTTATTTACAACCTCAAACCAAAAGTTAATCTCAATTTAGTAACTGACTGAATATTCCTTCTCTTCTGGTTAAAAACATGGGTGAAATGGAAAGTATCAGTCCAAATCTAACCATGATTAATCTGTTTCCACCTTAACAAGGTCCAATGATGACTGATATGGGAAATCTCAAATTACAGGATACAAATTGGCATCCAAAAAAATAAGAACTAGGAGCAGGAGTAGGCAATTCAGCCCCTCGAGCCTGTTTCACTATTCAGTACAATCACGGCTGATCTCACCTCTGCCTCAACTCCACTTTCCTGTCCACTTCGCATAACCTGTCCAACTGTTACTAATTAAAAATTTGTCTATCTCTTCCTCAAACTTACTCAATGCCCCACTATCACCAGTCTCGGGTAGAGAATTCCATATATTCATGACCTTTTGAAAGAAGTCATTTCTTCTCATCCCTGTTTTATAACTGCTACCTCTTATCCTAAAATGACCTCTCGATCAAATAGGCCTGACCTTGCATGTCAGGAGTTGGTAACATTAAAGTGCAAAGTGATTCACTGTCTGAGAGTGAGATAAACTGCTCTCTAGGATTGAGAAGGATATAATTCACATGCCTGCTAACTGAAGGTCTGACCACAGACTTTGTTTACTCAGTTAGATTTCATAATTTTACACCCAAGACTGACAGATTCACTCATTATAACTCACTGGTCATTTCTTGTTTTAAATTTGTTGGGATTCTTCATGAGTTTCACTTAACTAGATAAACTGTTGTCCAGGATGGTCTTGACTGGGAAGTTTCCAAGTTCAGTTTTAATGTAAGCAAACTTAACTGCCTGGACTCGCATGAATGGTGTTCAAAGTGTATCCTCCAAATTGGGTAAACAGAATTTTCCCATTGAGATTTCTGGTTTGCAGGCTGCTCATTATAATTTCAAATATCCAATGATAGTGGGGATAGGAGTAGAATCTCTTCCTTTGCTGGTAAGTCCCAACTACAAAGTCTCAAGATTCATCTAGAATAATGGCACAAAATGGTTGACCATCTTGATTGTGCCACCACTTCAGACTGATTTCTAACCTTTAGTATTTTTCTCCTCTTAATTCCACCCTATCCCATTCTTCCCAAAATGCTATTTCAAACTTAACTCATGTCAAGCTAAAGAACAGAACATGTTGGAAATACTCAGCAAGTTGGGCAGTAACTGAGGAGAGAGATAAAATTAACTTTTCTGGACCATAACCTCTTATCATTCTGATGAAACGTTGATGCTTCATTCGTCCAAAATGTTAATTCTTTGTCACTCTGCGAATGTCACCAGACCTGCTAAGGATTTCTATCAACAGCAATATTTTTGCTTTAATATTCCTGACTAAAATTTGTTTGGAAATTGAGATGTTGCCATATAATAAGCAGAAAACTGTGTACGGATAACTTCATCTTTTGCTCCTAAAGGGAATAAGTTGATTTTTACCATATACTATTGTACAATGTACATTGCTGATACAGGTTGAAAACAGCTTTGTTGCTGGGTGTTGAGAAACTGAAAGGTCGAAAGGGTTTGATTAACTTTGAATCTGCGTTGTTAAATTGTACGATATTTGAGCACGGGATGCAAATAAAAAGCGACACGATCGTTGCTTTGGGCTGTTCCTGCTCAACTGATACTTAAAACTGAGTATTGCTTTAAGAAAAAAGAAGCATTTTCTAAAAGCTTTGCACTCATCAGGATATTTCACAAGAATAATAATTCAAGGAGAAAACAAACATTTATAGGCCATGAGAGGAGAGCACTGACTTGTGGGCAAGTGTACTCTGATAGATGTGTTGCCATGGCAAATGCATCATAATAATTTATAGTTAACAGCCAGGCTTTAATTCTGGTCAGGGCTTTTCCCTGAGAAATGAGTCACTGGATATGTGCTATCCATTTTGTTGAGTTAAAACAGGCACAGTGCATATACATATTCTTTGTGACTGACAAACCTAAATTGGTTGGTAGTGTAATTCTTTTGATATTGTATGTTCTGTACTACACATAATTACTTAAAATTATACAATGGGACACAAAAGAAATTCTTAAAAGCATTCTGGCTTTTGTTTTTCATTTTCCCAGCAGCTAAATTCAGCAATAAGTTGACATTGAACAAGAAGGCTATCAGCTAATGTCAATTTTGTCCTACTCTGCTGCAATCTTACAACTTACCCTAAATCTCACCCACTTTGTGAGTTGTTCAGCTTCTCACGCTGGCTGTCCTTTCAACATTAAAAGGCTTAATCTGCTAAATTATAAATCTGCAAGTTTATATTAAAGAGAGTTTCATTCTAGGATTGATTTACATTCAGCTTCTATAGAAGCAAACATACCAACTTTCTGTTCTTGCTGTTATCGATGCACTTGTTCATGAATTTAAAATATTGCATTTTTCCCCCAACAGGTAACATTACACGACATGATCATCAAAAATATTGAGAAAATCAAACGACCCAGGAATAGCAACACAGATGCATTGTACTAATTGGTGTGCTTCGTGAATTGGAATCTGACCTTTATAACCCCAAATATAAGACCGTGATTGCCTTGGCTTTGTTACGTGAGATTGGTCTTGTTGAGATGGAAAGAATTGGAGTGAAAAATGAAGCACAGTGTTTGTTGCGTTTTAGTGGAATAGCTGCAAAGGGATTTCCATTCATCTTTTCTTTTTATGATGTACAGAGGTTTTTAACCTTCAGGAATTCTTTCCCATTTTGCTTGACAAATCTTTGTAATGTACAGTATTACTGGTCTTAGCAAAGAATTCTGTTTAGAAGTAAGTTTTATTTCGAAATATGGTATTTTTCCATTTCTTTCACATCCTTCCCTCATTAAAAAAGATGACAGATGATGTACAAATTATCCTGTAAATGCTGAATGTTAGTCATGTACAACTCTAACATATAGGCAAACGCCCACAGAACACCAGGCACAGGTCTGAAGGCTGCAAATTGTAGAAAGGAGCACCTATTGCACCATGTTATACGGTACACTTACTGACTGTTCTATTTCCTTTCCCTGATTACCAGTGAACATTTTTTTAAAGAGAAGTATTTGAAAATGTTCTTTTAAAATAAAAAGTTGTGCTGTATGCGTAGTGTGAGCCTCCGAAGTGGGGATAAATGAAGTTATAAATTCTACGTAAATTACGTATTGCTATGATTTTTCTAATTGCCCTAAATTAGGATACTGAGCATTAGTTTCTCCAGTTTAACTTTTTCAGCTTCCTTTTTCTTGTGAAGTCTCTCACAATTTTTAAACCCCATCTCTGCATTTTGCTATGTATTCGTCCATTCACTTCTTTTTCTTGCGTAGGTTGAGAATGTTGAGCCCATTAGTCAAGAGCTTTTAGCGGGTGGACTGCACATTTACTGGTGAGCCCAACTTTCAGACCATGACGACTACTACAAAATTATCTAAGACCTAATAAAACATTCCTCTGAGACAATGTGTGTTGGGATCTCTGTCTGATGTATGCAGTAGCTTGCATATTGTAATCTGGTTATCTTGCACACAACACAGTTTACAGGAGCACTGTGCTGAGAGCAGCGGAACAAAATGTGATGGGAATGGTTTTATTACATCCCTACATTGTGGAAACAGGCCATTTGGCCCAACAAGTCCACACTGACCGTCTGAAGGGTATCTCACCCAGACCCATCCCCCTACCCCATTCCTGCATTTCCCATGGCTAACATACCTAACCTACACATCCCTGAACACTGTGGATAATTTAACATGTCCAACCCACCTAATTTTTACATCTTTGGACTGTGGGAGGAAACCCACACAGACATGGGGAGAATGTACAGCCTCCTCACAGGCAGGCACCCGAGGGTGGGATCGAACCCAGGTCCCTGGCGCTGAGGCAGCAGTGCCAACCACTGCCAAACACCATGCTCCCCATGGTGCTTTCATGCAAATTGAGGTAACCCTGTTATACAGGTTAGTCTGGTTTACACAATCTGTTGAAACTAAATTAAAACAGGTTAATTCATTTTTAACTGATTTAAGAATGCTGCCCTCCTCATTAGATTTGTCTTTCTAACTTTTTACTTCATTTGCTTTTATTGACTTGTCTCATTTTCTTTCCTCGCCATTTACCGCCCTGTTTGTACCAGTGTTCTTCCTAACTGTACATTCTTCTGAAATCATTAAAGTCTCCAGCAAAGAAATATGTTTTAAATGGTGATAACATGACTTGCACACGATTTGTGGAACATTTTGCCCAGGAAACTTCGTGGACTGCTTGCTTCTCAAGAAAAGGAGCTTGAATGGTATCTACCTCAGCAAGGACTGCACTAACGTTTAACATTTCATATTGTTACAGAATGGTTGACTCCTTCAGATTTTGGAAATGGATTATTAGGATGCTGTCTCCTGCAGATGGTTTGGTTTTCAACAATGGAAGCGTTGTTCTAAATTGCCTTGAAATGATTTGAATAGCAAGGTCACGGGAGCCTTCGGGCTTAGTGTTTTTTTTCCAATGGGCCTCCCGGCAGACCTAAGTAGATCTTTAGAGTTTTTTTTTAAATTAAAATTATGACATATATTCTATTTCTGCCATGTGTATTCTGCAGTTTCAAGCATAATGCAATGTTCTGTAGTCAAACGATGGGCTTGGGGTGCCTCTGCGTGTTCTTATCTGAGTAACAGGAGTCACTGGTGTTTCATGTCACTGTTGTAGTCTTCTGTTCTACAGCCTCACTTGACTGACTAACACAAACTTCACAAAGAATTCTGAAAAACAAAATATGTTTAGTTTAAAGCAAACAAAAAATAGATAACTTGAAACTGTGGACACCCAACTGAGTTAAAGAAAGCGATTGCCTCTGATACTAATGAGTATCTACATTTTTTTCATTACTCATTCAAGTGATTGTAAAACTATTTACAAGGTGTCTTGCTTCAAGTTTAACTGAATTCTTTCATCTGAAATTATCACCAAAAAAAACTTGGCATTAATTTGCTTTCTAGGTTTGGTAATGAGGAAGCCTTGTTTTCCTTTAGGTCGATGAGGAAGCGCTTCCCAAACATTTTTCGGACTGTGACCCTATTTTGAGGCTTAAATATTTTTGTAGCACCCTGCAGTGAGACCGGTGAGAACAGAAGGGGGATGTTGTGGGGTGATCAGTGTCGGGCAATAGGAGCCAATCTGCTAGAGTGAAAGTGCAGCTGTCATAATTCAGTCAGACCTCCATAATGGCCATTGTTGCTTTGGAACTTGTGACCCCAAAGTTTTAGCTCTTGAATCCATTTGGGGTCACAACCCACACTTTCGGAAGGCCTGCAGTAAGGGCACAAGAAGTTTGCAAGAGGAAGGCATTGACTTGATTTCTGTTTTTGTTTCTTTCCTCTCCACACCACTTCAACCACATACCACCGTGCCCCCCACCCCCAGTCTTTATACAAAGAAGCACAATATTTCCAGACTTTAGGTTGCAATGTGGGAGGTGTAATTTCAAAATCCAAATGGATAGCTTGCCAAGTAATAGTTTAAGTAAATGAAATTGCATCCCCTTATCAAGCTGGAGAAATGTATTTCTGGCCTTTTTCTATAAAAGTTTCCACTGATAAAATCAGATGCAACTCGTTCTATTTCTTAGTCTTAATCCTGTATTACCAAAAATGCCCCCATACAATGTTTTAGTAACTGTGTTTTGTTACATCACAAAGCATGATGATTTATCTTTTCAATGGGACAGGGAATTAGTGGAAGCGTCAGTTTGTAATTGCTGCTGTTGTGTGTAGTGATATTCAACATGTGGCCAGAATGCAGTACCATTCATCAAAAATGAAAAGTAAATATTTACTTTCTATGACTGAACTGTAAACTAAAGGGCTAATAGCTGTTGTGCTCAAATCCTAGCCCTTACTTTCTCAACTAAATCAACTGAGTGACAGGTATTTAGAAATCTGTCAGCAAAGGGAATTTTTATTGTCCATATGTTTACAATTCAAACGTTGACTGTAACCGCAGATTGTTCTCTACTGTAGAACATAGTTTGTGCTTGAGGTGTGTGCTAAAATAAATTGAAGTTTGAGAGGAAATTTGGGCTCTCCCCTGACATTCTCCTGCCAGTGAAAATGTGGCAAAGAGTAATTTGCTCACAGAGTTCTTAGCGTGTTTGCCTTTTTGAAATAGTAACCATTCTTTGCATGTGTGTGAATATAATGTAAGCAAGAAGGCGGAAGTAATGACTGAAATATCAAGTTAGATTATAGATATTGTAAGGACATTCCATATCCTGGTGCTCATGGTTTGGGGTTTTAATATTTTATTATCAGGTCCATCTTAGCAGGCGACAAAATTGTCTGATTCACAGCTTCAGTCTATTTCTACAAACTGAGCTGCTTTCGATCTTGTATAGTGCCTCTTGGTGCTTTTACTGTGGGTTCAGCAATAAATATTAGGACACTTAACCCAAATTTGTCAGTAATTGCTTTTTTTTTTCAAAAAGCACCAAAATTGTAACCAAGGTTCCATACAGTGTGGAGCTAGAGGAGCACAGTGGGTCGGGCAGCATCAGAGAAGCAAGAAAGTCAATGTTTCGGGTTTACACCCTTCAAGCATTTTCTTTGTTGATCCATTGTGTATCAGATAAACCTAGTGAGACTTAAAATTTAAAAAGCCATTTGTCCTTTTTTTAAAAAAAATGTGTACATACATTGTTTGACAAGTTTGTCCAGACATTTATCTGCAAAAGTACAGAACTGATAGTTTGCAGTTCCTCACCACTCTGGAAAGATACTTGATTAATTTCTTCTGGTTTCAGCAATTGCGTTCTGTCCTGTGGTTTACTTCCACAGTCAGTGCAAGGTACAGTGTCACGTAAGGCACCGTGAATGGAATGACTGAAACAAAAAGGAGTTTACAGGATCATCAGTGGCAGTGAAATAAGGTTTCCATGGTGCCAGATTGATCAGGATCAAGAAATCATGTGTCTTTGGACATCTAGTGACAACAACCACAGAAGCTTCTCTCTTGGGATCTGAACAGAGAAACATTGCTAATAAAGTGAGCACACCTTTGATATACAGCTGGGAAGCTAAAACACAGTTGTGATAAGCAATTGGCTTTAATACAATTATGGTATGTTCTTAGTAGATGTATGGTGTTTCTAGATGTGTAATCTAGATGATCATGATGTTGATGTGATGAGGGAGGGAGAAGCTTACTGCCTGATTCATTTACTGTTCTGTGATAAAAGCATCATAAATGGCCTTTTCAGTTTATCAGAGCCTGGAGGCAGTCTGGGAGAGCTTGTTTCCTCCTTACTTGGATTTAATGTTTGTTCCATGCATTCCTGCTGTTCCTCTGAGGGATGTTCCATTTTACTCTCCCCATGGCATTGTAACGAAAGAGACAGGAAGCAACAATGCAGTATGACTATTGACATCTCCAAATGACCAAAATATTTCTCCAGGCCACCTAACTTTTTTTAAAATCATCTGATTGTCTTTTCAGGGAACCCCATGTCTCCTGTAGACAAAAAAAATGCTGGAAATCACTGGGTCAGGCAGCATCCATGGAGAGAGAGCAAGCTAATGTTTTGAGTCTGGATGACTCTTCATCAGAGCTCTAATGAAGAGTCATCTTGACTCCAATGTTAGCTTGCTGTCTCTCTATGGATGCTGCCTGACCTGCTGTGTTTTCGAGCACTTTGTTTCCAGTACAGATTCCAGCATCTGCTGCAGTAATTTGCTCCGACATGGATTTCCCTTTGTTATTTTAGCAGTTGAGCTCAGTTATTACAAGTGCATCACTAGTTAGGGCAGCAGTCTAACTCTTAATTCTGCTTTAACTGTAACAAGTGATGGAATTGATGTGACTTGCATCTGAATCAGCAAATGATGCCTGTGTGCCTTGCATTCACTTCTGCTACTTGTCAAATAAAATATAGACTTTAATGCAATCAGTGCCTTTCCTGTTCACTGAGGAGTAGTCCTGCTCGAAGTTGCTTGTAGAGTGACAGCAATCCTATTTATTACTCAATGTTCGTCATCCAGCTGAACAGAGCCCCTTCCAGAAGGAACATTGGTAGTTAATCCTAGATCAGTTGTCATTTTGAATCTGAGATAGGTCATTTTGTTAAGCAAAGGTTTTAAGGCATATGGGCCAAAGGTAAGTATATGGAATTTAGCCATGATCTCCTTGAATGGTGGAACAGCCTCGAGGGGTAGAATGGCCTATTCTATTCCTTTTTCCTTTGTTCCTAAAATCCAATAAAACTTGAGAATGGTGCATACTTTTGACGCATCTTGTGTATATCAAAATGGAGCTGCTTATAACCAGTATGTTCGTACCAAGTAACTTTTGTTTTATACTGGGGTTTCCCTTTGAGCTGCCACTTGCCGAAGACTAAACGGCGTTGTCTGTGTGTCACTTGCATATGGCGCAGAAGTTAGATGCAGTTGTAATGATGACTGCAACATGGTTCGTTCTTA